CTCCCTCCAAAGCCTTCTAAGGAGGGAAAGTAGCCAGACACAAAAGGCTATGTACTGGATGATTCCGTTTCTATGACATTCTAGAAAAGGCCAAACTAGAGGGATGGGGAACAGACTGGTGGTTTGCAGGGAGCTGAGGACAGTGGGAGGAACTGCCTAGGAAGGGCTCAGCAGGGAGTAGATTTTCAGTGACGAAATAATTCCCTCTCTTGCTTGTGGTCGTGGTTACGTGACTCTATGTCTTTGTGCGAGCTTGCAGAACTGTACCCTAAAAAGGGAAGACTTTATGTTACTTCAATGGTATCTTAAAAAAAAAAAAAAACTGTATCTGAAAACAAACAAAACACAAATGCCTCCCAACTGCCTTACATCAGTCAAGGTCTACACAGGGACCTCGATGGACAGAGGGGATTTAGCACAGGGGTTGGTTATATAGATAGGAAACCCAAGTTGGGGAAGGGGTTGCATAGACTACTTAGAAATAAGCAAATAGGGGCGCCTGGGTGGCTCAGTGGGTTAAAGCCTCTGCCTTCGGCTCAGGTCATGATCCCAGGGTCCTTGGATCAAGCCCCGTATCGGGCTATCTGCTCAGCTGCGAGCCTGCTTCCCTTCCTCTCTCTCTGCTGCCTCTTTGCCTACTTGTGATCTCTCTCTCTCTGTCAAAAAAAATAAATAAAATCTTAAAAAAAAAAAAGAAAAAAAAAGAAATAAGCAAATAGGGAGGCTGTGCCCAGTGGGAGCCACTGCCAGTGCAGGTGGAGAGAAATATCATGACTCTCCCTAGTCTTCTGCCCTCCAGTCGTCCTCCAGGATCTGCCATTGGCTAAACGTGGGCAGGAGCCCATGGGCAAGGGGATGGCCTATGCCAGGGTCAGCCCCTCGCCATGGGGCAGGGCGGAGCAGGGAATGGATGGGCTGAAGGTACCTAGGCCCTAGGTGAACACAAAACATGCGAGGGTGGGGTAATTATACTCCCATTTTACAGAGGAGGAAACTGAGGCCTGGGGAGCCCACGTACCCTGCCCCAAGGGGTTCAAGGCCTTTTTTTCTGCACTACTTCCCATCTGACCTCAACTGAAGGGAACTAAAGGGAATGGAAATGTCTATGCAAATCAGGCCCACCCCTGGGGCCTCTGGGGGCTGCTGTAATGGGAGACTCCTGGTCTTCATGCTTGGCGGTCACCCACAAACAGAGCCGCAAACGAACACACAGATGTTTTGTCAGTGATGAGGGAGCGGCTCTCCCCAGTAGGTCAAGGTCCCTGGTCAAGCCTGCACCCACGCCCCGTACCTCCTCTCCGAAGGCTGCCCCCCATACTCTATCCTTGACCTCTGGCCTTTGTGAAAACCATTGCACCATGATGGGGGACTAGAAAAGACCAGATGTTGGGGGGGTCCTCCACCTTCCAATGTCTGCTCTCTAAATTGCTATCATGCCCACAGTCAGCAGGGATCTTCTCTGAGGGGCAAGGCTGACATTGGCCACGCACCACTGGGGACAGAGGTCACCTGCAATTGAGCCTTTGATCCACAGGAGAGGGCCAGACACATCAACCTTTGACCTCCATCCTGGCTTGGGCCAAAATGGCCAAACTTTGAGCTTTTCAGTATGCAGGTCTCCAGGTCTTTACCTCCCTTTCATTAAGGCTCACTCACAATCAATATATGCTGGTAGAGGAGTCCTATGCAAACTTCTTTCTCTACATCCCATTGTTCAGTTACTAGGTACTGAGAACCTACTGGATGCCTGGCACTCTTCTTAGCAAGGAGACCCAGCAGGAAACAAAGACCCCATCCTCCAGAAGCTGGTGTTCTTGTGGAAGAGGCAGTCAAGAATCAAGATAAACAAGAATGACATCATCTGTTAGAATGGGGTAAGCATACTGATGTATGAAGAATGTGGGGTAGGAAGGGAACAGTGACTTTAGACCCAGTGTCACCTGAGGTAATTATTTGAGTAAAGACCTGAAGTAGGTGAGGGAGTGAGTCATGCAGATATTTAAGGAAGAGAGGTCCAGGCAGAGAGAAGCACCAGTGCAAAGGCCCTGAGGTTGACATGGGATTGACCAGTTCTGGTGAGAAGACCAGTGTGTCCTAAACCACAGAGTAATAAAGGGGGAAGGTGGGAGGAGATGAGGACAGGTCCTGCAAGGCCTTGTGGGCTGCAGCAAGGACTTTGGCTTTTGCTCAGAGTAAAACGAGAGGCACGAGGGTTCTGAGCAGAGGAGGGATGTGATCTAACTCGTGTTTACAGGCTCCTTCGGAGGAGGGAAAAACACTGTGGGGAGTGGACGTGGAAGGAAAAGAGAATTCTGATTGTTCACTCAGCTCAGGAGGAGAGGGTTTGCGGGTGTCCCACTTACACGGCTAAGCAGACCAGACTCTGAAACAGCTAACAAGTTGTCTAGGGGTACTCAGCCACTTAGTGGCACCCTCTAGATGTGAACGTGTGTCTCTGTGACTACAGCGTCATTGGGTAAATAATCTTTTTCTTTTCTTTTTCTTTCTTTTTTTTTTTTTTTTGGTATCTTATGTTCCTGTGACATCGGGGGCAAGGGGGGCGGTAGAGATCTTGAGACCCAGGAGACAAAGGGAGGACTTTCTGTGTTTCTGGTAATACCCCTGCAACAGGATTTTGAGCAAAGGAATTCACTCAAGAAACATGTATTGAGCCCCTACTGCGTTACAGCTACTATCCTGGGTGTTGGAGCTACAGCAGGGAAGGACACTGAGCAAAACTTCTGTCCTGGGGGAGTTTACGTTCTAATGCGGGAGACAGACAAAAAGCATCAAAAACCAGGAAATTACATAGGATGTTAGAAGAGAAATACTGATGGGGGGGGGGACAGGATAAGGGGGTCTGAAGGGCCAGGAGTGGGGATTGCAATTTTGAATGGGGTGGTCAGGACAGGCTTCTTGGAGGAGGTGACATTTGAACAAATAATTGAAGGAGGTGAGAGATAAAGCCATGTGGAACTCTGGGAGAAGTATGTTCCAGGCAAAAGAAACACCAGTGCAAAGGCCGTGAGGTGGGTTCAACTTAAATGATTGAGTTGCCATCAGGAAGGTCCAGTCACCCCTGGCTCCTGCCGCTCTCTCCCCACTTCTGGTCTTTGCAACTTTGTTCTTTCAAAACACGTTTTCTCCTCTGGACAAACTCCTGATAGACCCTCAAATCTTAGCTCTCAAGTTACAGCTTCAGAGAAGTCACCTCTAAGACCCCTGCCCCCAGAGTTTAAGAGTTCTTCCCCTGGGCTTCTGCATACACTATAGGCTTCCCTTTCCCATTCTTCCCCACCCCCCCAAGATTTTATTTATCTATTTGTCAGAGAGAGAGTGCATGCTAGCAAGCATAAACAGGGGGAGCAGCAGGCAGAGGGAGAAACTGGGGACCAGCAGGTAGAGAGAGAAGCAGACTCCCAGCTGGGTAAATAGTCCAAAGCGGGACTCTATCCCAGGGCACTGGAAAGGCAGATGCTTAAGAGTGAGCCACCCAGGCATCCCCTTTCCCCTATTCTGATTTTTCAACCTTCTGCACTGTGCTGTGAGTATCTCAGTGTTGTCTGCGGGATTTACCTATGCAGTACCAGTAGGTGCCTAATAAATCATTAAGTAAGTGCTGTTCCATCATTTGCTACATAGTATCCAAACTTCCTCCCACAGGACAGACTAGTAAATCTGCTTATAAAATCCTAAACTGGTTCTGGGAGGAGATACACAGCTGGTTGTGGTGGTGGCTTTTGGGAGGGGAACAGGGAGGGGCAGGATCATAGATTGCAGGAGACACTTCACTCTAGTTTATACTCCTGTAGTTGTTGAAATTGTCTTTACCCGGTGTGTGAATTACCTACGCAAACATAAAATGAATAAATAAAATTCTACAACATAAAGGATTGAAAGAGCTTTCTAAATTGCAGAGTGGGCGGAGTTTTAAATATGCATTCACAATTATTCTAGCAGGAATAGAACACACAATGAAATGCATTGTAAATTTTATTAATACTACACAAAAATATCCATGTTATATATCAGACACAAACAAAACAAAACGCCCACTCACGTCTTTAGTAGGTATTCGAGTCTGCTAGGTCCACCCCATTCCTGCCTTGGCTCTTGACTTGTTTTGATGACAAAATTCATCTTCAGTAGTAGTAGTAATACCATTAAGTGTTCGCTTTGTGGTAGGCATGACTTTATTGAATGAAATCTCACGACCTCTCCATTTTCCAGATGAGGAAACTGAGGGCTCCCAGACCTCGTTCTAGGTCACGCCAGGCTCCGCGAGGCAGCTAAGGCTGCTATGGGTTCATGACGCCCCCTGGAGGCCGCCCGGGGAACGTGGCAAAGAACCTAAAAATGAATATTTGAATTTCGGTTGTAAGGGTGCGCAACGAGGGAGGCCATCCGGGGTCTGCGGGCTCCTCACCTTGCTCTGTTTGGGGGGAGAGGTCTGAGAGGGGACAGGACCCTGTCTAGGAGGTGAAGACACAGACCTAATTTGTGTTTTGAGGGGAAAGATACCCCTCTACCTTGGGGGGATCTGAGAGGCACGGTCCCACAGCCTCCGTACTTAGGGTTTTCAGCGACAGACGAGGTCCTACACGTAAACAAACACACAAAACCACTCTATCGAAAACCGAAAAACCACCGAGGAGGGTCCGGGAAGCTAGATGGAGCGGGAGCGGAGCGTGGAGGGCTTGACCGACACTAAAAGCGTAACAGGTATTGGTCATATTCTCTTAGTGCCCGCCCCAGGACCGCCCAGCCATAGGCGGGCCATTTTTCCAGACTTAACGCTCATTGGCTAAACGAGGAGCGAACCTTTTCCGGCAGGGAGGTTTCATTGGCTGGATTCCTGCACAGGCCCTTTGGGGGCGGGACCCAGAAAAAAAAGCGTAGGGCCTACGGAAGGGGCGCGGCTTCTCGATGTAAGGTCACGTGTTTCCAGGCGTTGCAGGGTGGTCCTTTAGGCCAGGCGTGAAAATTGGAACCTGGGGGTTAGTTTTGGGGCGAAGATAGAGGCACGCTGGGCCAGGCTCCGCCTACGTCGCTCTTGCATACTCAGCTTTCCAGCGCCGATCCGAGCGGGGTGCATGGTGTCGACGGCGTGATGTCATCGCTAGGCGCCGCGCGCCGCCAGAAGGAGCCTTGACCTCGTGTTGGGGGCTGCGCGACAATGCTGCAGCTACTACGGGCTGGGGCGCGCGCCTGGGCTCGGCCCGCGGGCTGCCGGGTGAGGCAGGGGACTGGAGACGGGCCGGAGGACAAAGGTTGGAGGTTCCGGGGGTCGTTTCTCACACTCGTCCCCCGTTTACAGGGCTTGAACGCGCTGGCGGAAGAGGCAGCACCCCAGGCGGCGAAGCCAGAGTCGGTAGCTAGCGCGGGTGAGGTTGCCAGGGTCGCTCTAGGAGGGGCGGCAACCGAGAGTCCCGACGCTCGGCCCTGACCCGTGACCTCCCCATCGCTTCAGGTCCCCAGGCGCCCGTGCTGCGCAGGTGCGAGCTCCCGGTACCCGCGTCCCGGCGTCCGGTGCAGGCCTGGGTGGAGTCCCTGCGGGGCTACGAGCAGGAGCGCGTGGGTCTGGCCGAGCTGCACCCCGAAGTTTTCTCCACAGCGCCCAGGTGGGTGGGAGTGAAACGGTGAACTGAGTTCCAGAGGGAGAAGGAGCGGGGCTTGAGCCTCAGCGTCTTCACGTGCCAAAAGGGGACGATGGTTTTCCCTGCCAAAGAGTTATGTGAGGTTGAGGTCTAAGAGTTAACGTCCTGGAAGTTAAGGTCGCAGAATTCTGGAGCCCGAGTGACTGAGTTCGAATCCTGCCTTCCCTCTTGTATTCCAGTGTCCCCATTCTGTCAGACCTGAAGAGGTTTCTGTGATGATGAAATGAGTTAATTCTGGCACCTAATAAGTCATGTAGCTGTGTTGACTATGGTCGCTGTTACTGAATTTTGCAAAAATAAGCACTAACAATGGTTATGCCCTGGCATAGCCTCTTTGCATTTTGGTTAAGTAGGTCCTTAGAGCAATCCTAGGATAGGGTTCAGTTACTCTTGCTTTGTGGACAGAGAAACTGAGCACAGACAGGGTAAGAAATTTGCCCAAGCTCACACAGCTTGGAAGCTTTAGAACTGGGATCTCAGCCTTATGTGGGCCAGCTCCTTGGGCTGGTTTATCGCTTGCCAAGGTGTATGTTGCCCCTCAGTTGCTTCGTATTGGGCACGTAATAAGTGCTGTTAGTTTATTATTGTTACTGATATTGGTATGGTTTGCCCCTTGCTTTTAGAGTCCCAATCTAGTAGAGAGTGACAAAAGAAATTAAAAACAACATATTTCGTGTATTCTGTAAATACTTACAAAGCATCTGCTACGTGCCGCATTCCATTCTGGGTGTTGGGAATTCAGGGAGTGAGCACCAAGGTTGCTGATGTTGCTTACAGTGCAAAACGGGGCTCCGTGAACCTCTTCTCGAAAGGGCCAGATAGTAAACATTTTAGACTTTGTAGGCTCTCCTGTTGCCATGACAACGACTCCTCTCTGCTGATGTAGTACAAAGTGGCAATAGGCAGTTTGTAAGCAAAAGCACATATTTACAGAAACAGGCAGTAGGCCAGATTTGGCCTACTAGCCATAGTAGCTTGCCAAGCCCTGGCAAGCTTCCCCAGCGGTCATGTCCAATGTAGCCCCATAATATGAGTCATGTGTGTAATTTACATTTTGCTGGTAGCCACATTTAAAAAAAAAAAGGGAAGAAACAATCTATTTAATTTAACCTGGTATATCTAAAACAGTGTATTTCAACATGAGGCCCTGGCCATGTTTCAGGGGGTCGGTAGCCACAGTGGCCAGTGTGCAGGGCTAGAGAGGCAAATCAGTCCCTAAAGAAGGTCACAAGGAGTAAGTTGTAACAATAGGAAAAGAGTAAGGTACTGTGAGGAGGAGGAAGAGGTGGCTCTCTTCTTAGCAAGGAGGCTCCTCTCGGAGATATCTGGGCTGAGACTTACTGGCTAAGGAGGAACCAGCCAGAGGAAGAGCGTTTCAGGCAGAGGGAGCAGTGAGCACAAGGCATGGAGGCTGGACCCCATTTCACAGAATGGAAATGGAGTTGGCCTGGAGGTGGTGTGAGATGGGGCAGAGAGGGGTGGGGGCAGATTGCACAGGGCCCTGGAGTTGGATGGTAGGAGCCCCTGTTTTTGTCTGGAGAGGTGGGGGAGGGCTTTAACTGGAGGCGGGCCTTTCACGGGCTCTTCTTTCTCCGTAGGTTGGATATCTTGCACCAGGTTGCCATCTGGCAGAGGAACTTTAAGAGAATTGTGAGTGGCCGAGTGGGGTGAGGTTGGCAGAAGGAGGCAGAGGAAGTTCCTCAGTTTGTCTTCTCTGGACTGCTAGGCTCTTCTGAACCATTCACTGATAGGTGACTTGCCAGGTGTTTTCTGAACACCCACCGTGCATTAGGCTTTGTGCTAGCGGACAAGACAGACAAGATCCCTGCCCTGAGGAAGCTCATAGTCTCGTCAGAGAGGTGAACATGAATCAAGTAGGCAAGCTTGTAAATATATGACAAGGGAGGTTTTTCCCGGAGAAAAAGAGACATTTAACCTCAGGTGTGTAGTAGGTGCTAACTAGGTAAAGGGGGCAGTGGCGCTAGGGTAGAGGTAGTGGGAACAGTATGTGCAAAGGTCCTGCGGCAGAGACAACAGGGAGCCTGGTGTGGCCACAGAGGTCAGCAGGAGCAGTGGTGAGTAGTTTGGATTAGTTTTTTTTGCCAAGTACATTGAAGAAGCCATTATCAATCAGGGTCTCTCTGCTTTCTATCTGCTTATCTCAGAAGTCCAGTGAGTCCTTTCCCTACCCACACCCTCCCTGGCTCCCCATAGTCCTAGGAATGAAGTCTTTAGCTTAGCATGGAAGTCTCTCATTATCTCCCCACCCCATACCTCTCCCTGACTTTTCTCTAGCCTCTACACACGTTTCCCCACACCACACCTTCCTTTTAGTGGCCACCACATTAAAATCATTCAAAAACTGCAGAGTGACTATACCGTGTGCCAGGCAGCAGAGTCCCTGCCTTTCTGAGGCTGACATTCTGGAGCGGATGAGGGAACTGTCGATTTCTTTATCGTCTCTCTCCCCAAGTGCTGTGTGCTTGTCCCGATGGAGCCCTAATCTCTGTCCCTCCTGTTGTAGGGCTCCCCAATGGCGAACCCCCACTGCCCAGCTCACTGCTTTGTTCCCAGGTCTGGGCCCTTTCAGCCATGACAGTGTTTGCCCCGGGAACCTGACCGTCCACCTCCTCCCTTTGCACCCGCAGAGCTATGCCAAGACCAAGACTAGGGCCGAGGTGCGGGGCGGAGGCCGGAAGCCTTGGCCGCAGAAAGGCAGTGGGCGTTCTAGGCAAGGCAGCATCCGCTCCCCGATCTGGCGAGGAGGTGAGCGGGCAGGGAGGGAGGGACCCTGGGGGTGTCTTCACACCCATCTGGTGGGATAGCTTGTCGGTCCCATTCCTTTCATCTAGGCAGGGGCAGTAGGACTCTGGCCCTCAGACCTCACTGCCCGTGTGCGGGTCAGAGATCAGAGAGTCGTCCATTTTCCCAGCCCCCACCAGCTCTGGCCTTAGCCTCTCTCACCAGACTATGGCCATAGCTCCCTTTGGCCCTGACTACTGTCTTACCTCTCCTGGGCCACCCTTCACACAGCACCCAGAGTGCTTTTCCTAAGCCTCCCGGTGGCTCTTGCAGCCTTTTTGGTAAGTCTGAGCTCCTTTCCTTGGCATTCCAGGCAGTGGTGCCTGCAGACCACCCCCACCCCCCACTGCCCTTGTTCCTCCACATCCTCCCTGATCGGACAGCTGATGTCAGGGTCCTCTCCCATTTGCCTGGCCAACTCTTCTCATGTGTTTGGGCTGTGCCTCTTCCAGAAAGCTTTTCCTGACCTCCTTTGGGTCCCCCACCCCCAACAACTCCTGGTGCCACCCAAAGGAGCCCTGATGTCCTATATAGTTGAACCTCTGTCTGAAGGTGAATGACATGAGGCCGGGGATCCTGCCCATCTTCTTCCCTGATGAACCCCCCCACCCCCCCAGGGCCCAGCAGAGGGAGGACGCACAGGTAGATGGGCCTCACTTAAGGTTTGACACTGAGGAAATCGAGGCCCAGTGTGATAAAGTCACCTGTCCCAGTCAACGCTGGATCCACTGCCTCCTCTCTGTCCCTCCCCGAGGCCCGGTCCCCTTTGCTGATTCAGTTTGCCTCCTGGCAGCCTCCCTACACCAGCTACTGTGAGAAATTTCTGTACTCTACACCCAGCTGGGGTCCTCACCTGTCCACACGTCTCTGTCCCTACAGGAGGCATTGCCCACGGCCCCCGGGGCCCCACGAGCTACTACTACATGCTGCCCATGAAGGTGCGGGTGCAGGGCCTCAAGGTGGCGCTCACCGTCAAGCTGGCCCAGGTACGGGCCTGATCCCAGCAGGAGCTGCTGGCCTGGTGAGGGGGGAGGCTTTGGGGGCTGGAGAGCTCAGGCAGCTTCTGGGGGGCTGTCGGGGGCTCAACCCGTCCATTCTTCCTACTAGGATGACTTGCACGTCGTAGACTCCCTGGAGCTGCCGACCTCCGACCCCCAGTACCTGACCGAGCTGGCCCGATACCGTCGCTGGGGGGACTCCGTGCTCCTTGTGGACTTGTGAGGGCGCGGGGCAGGGCAGGGGTGGGGGCGCTGGGTGCCATCCTCTGCGGGGTTCACCTCCTGACCTCTGTTTCAGAGCCTATGAGGACATGCCCCAGAATGTCGTGGCAGCCACCTCCAGCCTCAAGACCTTCAACCTGATCCCAGCTGTCGGTGAGCAGAGGGCCCCCATTCTCCCGGCCTCTAGGTCCCCAGCAGTGCGTGGGCCAGTTCAGATTCTGTACCTGCCACCTCCTCAGCCCAGCCCTTACCTTCCCCAGACAGAGCATCGGGAAAATGCCATCCTTGAAAAAGGCTCTGTCCAGGCTGGGGTCATAGTGCTGGGCGTCGAGTGAGTGGACTGGCCGCTTGTTGCCCTCATCTGGCTCCTCCCTCCGAGAGCCTGGGAGGTGGGATCCAGTCTGGCTTGGGCATGTCACACCCATCACCACACTGACTAGTCCCTAGAGCTCTTTCTCCGTCTCCTGATTGCATGACCGACTTCCTCCCGGACAGTTGCCTCTGGGGGTCTCACCTTGGCTCCTTGAACTCCTTGCTTCCTGTGGCTCAGACCCCAGACCATGCTCTCACCCTCCACTCATCTCTTAGCTCACTCTGTTGGGTGTGACTTTAAACATATCGGGCATTCCACTTCTTCCCCCCAGTACCCCCATCTCCCTCCTGGCCCTGGCTCCTGCTCTCCTCCGCAGCCTGGTCTCCCCACCACAGCCACCAGAGGACGCCCGTGAGCACCCGGGCCCCGCCCCTCCCTCCTCTGCTGTTTCCCACTCCCTTCTGGGTCAAGGCCCAAGTTCATCCTGAGGCCCACAGGATCCTCCACAGCCTGCCCCATCCTCTCCCTGCACTCCTCGCCTCCCCCACTTGTCCCGCTCGCTCGCTCACTGCAGCCACAGGCCTCCTGCCGTACATTCATGCCTCTGCCCCCGCTGGAGAGGGCGGCGAGGATCACAGCCCCATCGCAGAGCAGAGCCAGGCACGCAGGAGGCTCTCGATCAGAAGCTGAGCTAAGGACCGTCCCTTGCCCAGGGTCTTGCCATCAGTGAGCAGCTGAGCCAGGGCCCGAGCCTAGCCTGCAAGATCTGTGAGCCCGTGTCGGACCACAAGGGGCAATACTGGGAGGGCTTGCTTCCTCGAGGAGGACATGGGCGCCCAGAGGTGGTAGGCAGCCCAGCCTGGACCGCATCTCCGCTCCCACACCCCCAGGTCTGAACGTGTACAGCATGCTCAAGCACCAGACCCTGGTCCTGACCCTGCAGACCGTCGCCTTCCTGGAGGAGAAGCTGCTCTGGCACGACTCACGCTACACGCCTCTCTACCCCTTCCGCCTGCCCTACCGTGACTTCCCCTGAGCCCTGGTCCTCTGCCCTTGGGGGCCCCTCAGCCTCCCTCTTCCTGGACCCCTTCGTGCCGGGTGCTTGCCCCGAGCCAGGCCGAACCCCCAGTAGGCCTGGGAGCCTCGTGCCCACCCTGTGAGAGCAGGGCCGCACCGCCCGAATCCCCTCATCCCTGTGCAGCCGTGCGCAGAGTGGCCGAGTGGGCGTCACCACCAGAGAGGGGCCGCTCGGCACATGAGCCCCACCGGCCTCTGGCCCCAATTTTCTCTTTCATTTTTAACATTGACTCTGGGTTTTTTTTTGTTTTTGAATCAGAAACAGAACGGCTCATTGCCATTTTGTAAATACTTCCACTTGGCAAGTCTGGCTCTTTCCTCAGTGCTGGGTGCCGCTGGGTACCTCTCTCCAAGGGGCAACCTCAGGGCTGTTCATAGCGATGACCCGCCGTCTGCCTCCCCAGGAGGAGTCAGGTTACAGGACTGTGCAGGGGAGTCGTGCCACCGCTGTCCCTAGGAACCCGCTCCCGCTGCCTCCCCGCTGCTCAGGGCTGCCCCCAAGAATTCACATCCCCGATGGGGCTCGTGCTGCCTTTGGTCGTGGTCCTGCAGGCCAAGCAGGGGGGGTGATTCTACAAAAAGGAAGCGTAAACCTGAAGCTTTTCTCATGATTTCCCACAAGCAGCGTTTGAATCCCTGTGCTCAGTAAATGAGCAAATAAACACACTTTTTAAACACCGAACTAGCATCCTAATTGTGGGGTCTGCTGATATCTGCTCCCCAAGCTAATTTTCTTGTAATAGTCCTAACACAGACGACCATGTGGTCAGTTTCCTTAAAGTCAGCCAGAGCGGACATCTGCTCGTCTGTCTAGCCAAGGGAGGGGGGGGCAGGGACCACCCATGGGCTAGGCAGCCCCTTGCCAAAAACATCTCTGGAATGCGTCTCTGGGGAGTGCCTTCAGAGCTCGCAGCACATTCTTTGAAAATCCTCATGGATAAAAACTTTGATCCTTAAAGCACCAGACTTGACAAAGTAAAAAAGCCATTTGGAGCCTGTGTAAGAATGGGTGCGGAGGGCGGGTGGGAAATGTCCCTTGGGCTGAAGCCAAACTGGTCCCTACCTCTCCCTGTGCCTCTCACTGGCCACGTGGGGATGTGAGGCTTGGAGTAAGACCCAGCTGTGCTGACAGCGCCCAGACCAGTCTAGATCATCGTAGCTAGAAGGCAGGCTGCTTAGTCGTCCACCTCACGGCGGTCAGGAAACAGCAAGGCCAACCCACCCCTTTCAGACCAAGGGTGAAAAAAGGCATTAGAGAAGAATGATCTGGGTGGCTCAGTCGGTTAAGCATCCGACTCTTGGTGTCGGCTCAGGGCAGATCTCAGAGCCATGGGATTAAGTCCTGTGTCAGCTCCACGCGGGGAGTTGGAAAATCTCTGTCCCCCCCCCCCACTCAGGAGCATGTGCGGGCTTTCTCTCTCTCTCTCAAATAAATCGGACGGGGTTGGGGGGAGCGGATGCCTGGGACGCCAATTGTTGGCGTCTGCCTTTGGCTCAGGTCATGATCCCAGGGTCCTAGGATCGAGCCTCCCAACAGGCTCCCTGTGGGAAGCCTGCTTCTCCCTCTCCCTCTCCCTGCTTGTGTTCCCTCTTGCTGTGTTTCTCTCTGGCAAATAAATAACCTTAAGAAAAGAAAAAAAAGATGATCTGATACTAGAATGTGCTTTCAAATAATTGGGAGGCAGCGTGTGTGTTGGTCTGCTAGGGCTTGCCTGAACCAAGTACCACAGCCTGGGGGGCTGAAGTAACAGAAACATACTGTCTCGTGGTCCAAGAAGCTGGAAATCGAAGATCACACTGTCGGCCAGGGGGTTCCTTCTGAAGCTGCGAGTGAGACTCTGTCCCATCCCTCTTCCCCGGCTTCTGGTGGTTTGCTGGCGATCCTTGCTGTTACTGGGCTCATGGTCACCCCAAGGTCTGTCCTCGTCTTTGAATGGCAGTGTCCCTGTGGATGTGCCTGTGTCCAGATTCCCCCTTTTTATAAGGACCCCGGTCATGTTGGGTTAGTGCCCTGCTTCCCCTGCCGCCACCCGGCCTCAATAACCAACCTCTTACTCATTTGCAGGTCCTGGGGGTTAGTTAGCACTTTTATTTTTTTCTTGCAGGGTAAGGTGGGGGGGGGGGGGAATTGATCCCATGAAGGGGTGTAAGGGGAGAAATGGAACCAGATCAGCCGTGAGGACCATGGAAGCTGGCACATGCGGCTTTACCGCGTATCCTCTGCTGTTGTCTGTGTTGGGAATTCTCTATAAGGAGCCTTTTTAAGAAGAAATGAGTGGAGACATTTCGTCGGAGCTGTTGCTACCCTTAAGTCCTCCCACCCTCTGGGGACATGGACTGACCCAGACAGAGCCCAGAGAGGGAGGGCACTTTGCAGTTACCCATTCCAAGACCAGACACCCAGGACTCAGGCTGAATCTGGCTTAAGAAAGTGAAAGCCAAAGCTAGAGCTGGGACCCCACTCGGAGGGCGAAGGGCGAGAGGCAGGCAGCTCTGAAGGTGGGGCCAGGGGTCTGCTTACTGCTTATTTACCCAAACCAAAGATGCTCCCACCCTAACCAAGGGATCTCTAGGAAAGAAAGCCTCAGAGCCCCTCAAAACACATACCCACCAAATCCCCGAAGGGTGCCTCATTTATGTGCTGCTGGGCCGTCCAGAGCTCTCAGCCCGGGAGGAACTGCCCTGTCCCCTGTCTCCTCCTTCCTGCACCTGAGCAAGGAGCCCCCCCCCCAGGCTAGTGAGAGGGAGTGAGGCAGACAGAAAGGTCACCAGCAGGGAGACCAGGCCCTTCTTCCTCACTGAGGCCTCCAGCCTAGCGAGGCCTGACCTGGGGCTCCCCTCCAACATCAAGTCAAGTTCAGAGACTTGAATAGGATACTGAGTTGGGCCTGAGTCCCGGGCAGACTTCTCAGCCAGGAGTGGGGAGAGACTCCAGCACAGAGTCAAGGGGTGCAGGGAGAAGCAAAGTTCTGTTTTGACTGACTCATAAACGTGAACTTCTGCCTTTACGCCCTAGGGTGGCTAGGATGAACTGTGATACCGGCATGAACCAGATCTGTGGGAACGCAGAGGAAGCCTGTGTTTCCACCGAGGAAGTTTAAGGGGGAGTTTCTCCACACTGGTTCCTCGTGAAACAGACAAATTGTGACGACCGCTAATTGCCCTTGCTCTTTGCTGGCCAATCATCGCATCCAAACTAGATTAGTGACACCTCACATCAGCCTTCAAGGTCTGTGTTACCATCTCATTCTTCAGCTGAGGCCAGCAAGATACCCCCCGCAGTGGGGGGAAGTGGTTTGCTCAAGGTCACAGTTCACAGCAGGGGCTCTCAGCATCCTTGACACCTGCTGTCCGGCATGCCGGCCTCCCCCGACTCCCCAGCCCTCTGCTGGGCTTGTCTGCTGGGCAGGTCAGAAGGATAGTGAGATGGGAGCTGGTGAGGAGGGGGACTAGGACAACATACCACCCGCTAGGATGGCAATTATGGTAGTAATCATCAAACAGAAAATTGGTATTGAAGAGGATGTGGAGAAATTGGAAGACTTGCATCCTTGTATGTTGCTGGTGGGAATGTAAATGGTACAGCTGCTGTGGAAAACAGTCTCAGGGCGCCTGGGTGGCTCAGTCGGTTAAGCGTCTGCCTTCGGCTCAGGTCGTGATCCCAGGGTCCTGGGATCGAGCTCCGCATTGGGCTCCTTGCTTGGTGGAGAGCCTCCTTCTCCCTCTCCCTCTACCTGCTGCTCCCCCTGTTTGAGTGCTCTCTCTCTCTCTCTGTCAAATAAATAAATAAAATCTTAAAAAGAAAAGAAAAGAAAAAGAAAACAGTCTAGCAGTTTCTCCAAAACTCCACTTGGAATTACCATATGACCAGCAATTCTAACCATATTCCCAAAGGAATTGAAAAAATGTTCATACCGATGCCTGCACATGAATGTACAAAGCAGCGTGGTTCCCCAGGGCCAAAAGGGAGAAACAACCTAGATGTCCGTCGATTGATGGACGGATCAACAAAGTGTCATGTCTACATACAAGGCAATATTCTCCAGCTGTAACAAGAAATGAGGTACGCCCAGAACTGAAAACAGGGACTGCAGCAGACACTTGTAAGCCAGCGTTCGTGGTGGCCTGATTCACAACAGCCCGCGGTGGCAACAACTCGCATGACCCACCTGTTGATGAATGGATGAACGAAATGGGATATATCGTTGCCACTGTTTGGCCAGAGAGAGGAAAAAGGGCCGTGGGATGCTACAACAGGGATGAACCTTTACGCGAGACATCCTGAACGTGATGCAGAGGGAAAGAAGCCGGACACAAAACGCCACAGAGTGTGTGATTCCGTTTTTGGGAAATGTCCAGAATAGCCAGACCCACAGAGACAGACAGTGGAGTAGGGGTTTCCAGGGGCTGAGGGAAGAGGGAATCGGAAGGCGCCAGGTTTTGGGGGAGGGTGAGGAAATAGTCTGGAATCGAATCGTGGTGATGGTGGTACAAGATTGTGAATATTCTAGAAAGTTGTTGAAGGGCAAAAATGTAAACTTTATAGGGGCATCTGGGTGACTCAGTGGGTTAAGCGTCCGCCTTCAGTTCAGGTCATGATCTCAGGGTCCTGGGATCGAGCCCCGCGTTGGGCTCTCTGCTCAGCGGGGAGCCTGCTCCCCCCCACCCCCCGCCGGCTGCCCCTGCTTGTGCTCTCTCTCTCTCTGACAAATAAATACATAAAATCTTTTAAAAATGTAAACTTTATATTATGTGAACTTGTCTCAATTAGACACATATATGTGAATGTAAACTGGCATAGTCACTTTGAAAACCAGGATTGTGGCTCCCCCCAAATTAAAATCAGTTACTACCATATGGCCCAGCAATTTTGCTTCTGCATCAGTTGGAGGGGAACAGAGTCACTATCTTGAAAAGGCCTCTACACCCCCATGCTACTGCAGCATTGTTTACAATACTCAAGACAGGGAAAGAGCCTAACCGTCCATCGGTGGATGGATGGACATATATATACAGTGGAATGCTATTTGGCCATAAAAAAAAGAAGGAAAGCGTGGGGTCCCGGCGTGGCTCAGTCGGTTAGGCATCCAACTCTTAATCTCAGCTCGGGTCTCAGTCTCACGCCCCATGTTGTAGGCGTGGAGCCTACTTAAAAAAAAAAAAAAGGACATTTTGCCATTTGCTACAATGTAGATGGACCTTGAGGTCATTATGCTAAGTGAAATAAATCAGACAGACAGCGACAAATACTGTGTGATCTCACTCACATGTGGAATCTTAAAAAAACAACACCTGAATTTGTAGTTACAGAGAACAGACTGGTGCTTGCTAGAGGCAGGGGGTGGGGAAATGGGTAAAGGGGATCAAAGGCGCAAACTTCCAGTTATAAGATAAATAGGTTCTGGGGATGTAATGGACAGCCTGGTGACTAAAAAATTTTTAAGGGGCGACTGTATGGCTCAGTCGGTTAAGCGTCTGTCTTCAGCTCAGGTCGCGATCCCACGGTCCTGGGATCGAGTCCCACAGCGGGCTCCCTGCTCCATGGGGAGCCTGCTTTTCCCTCTACCTCTGCTACTCTGCCTTTTTGTATTCTCTGTCAAATAAATAAATAAAACCTATTACAATTTTTAAATTAAAATATATATCTAGTAATAAAGTGTTGGGGAGCTGACAGTCCCAGAACGGCTTCCACCAAGCGAGGCACAGGACTGGCACAGAGTCTCCCCACCTCCAAGAGTTCCTCCATAAGACTGAACCTCAGTGACCCCAATGGATACCTCCATTAACACACCTTTACTGCCTGCCTTCCCGGACTCCCCCACCCCAGGTGTTTCTTGAGATCACCTCCCAGACAAACTGCCTGGACACCAAGTTTTGTTTCAAGGTTCACTTTTGCGGAGAGCTTACGCTCAAATAGCTGGTAGGTATGGGAGCCTGGATTCAAACCCCCAGCTGCTCCTCATCCTGTTACAACGTTGGGGATGCGATGCTCTGAGAACCTTTTGTAGAAATGGTGGAAGGGAATTCTGGGCTAGAGGAACAGCACGGTCCGAATGCTCAGAGCCAAAAGCAGCTCGTGGAAGCTGCCAGGAAAGGCAGGGTAGCCATGCGAGAGCTTGGACTGAAGGGAGAAGCAGGCACGAAACCACAAAGTGGGTTGTGGCCACTTTGCCCTGTGTCCACGGCCTCTGGTCTGCAGTGGGGACATTTGTTGGCCTGCCTGAGACTGCCTGGCACCCTGAAGGAAGCCCTGCCCTTCCTGGAAGCTTCAGTGAAGGGCTGGGGAGCCTCTGTTTTCCTTTTCCTCAAGGAAACACAAAGGGAGTGGAAGACCAAGAGTGGAGGCTCCTCTTGCCAACCTGTGCCCCGTTACCGCCCCATCTCCATCTCAGAAAATAGCTCCCCATCCTCCCAGGGGCTCAGGACCAACAAGCCCTCCCTGACTCCATTTTGTCCTCGAGGCCCAGCAAGTGCAGTTGACCCTGCCACCGAAACGGAGGCCAAATCTGACCACGTTTCCAAATGCCACCGGCCAGTGCAGGCCCCATCATTACTCACCTGGACTAGAGGAGTCACCTCCTCTGGCTTCCTGGCTTCCAGACTGTCCTCCCTGCGCCCAGAGCATAGCTCCTGCAGTCTCAGGAGGGTGCCTATAAACACCTGAGTCAGGGCTGTCTCTCCTCTGCTCAGAACCTTCCATGGCTCCCACTTCACTGGGAGGAAAGCCAAAGTCCCCTGCAGGCCAACAAGCATGCTCTGCACCATCTCCTCCCTGCCCTCCTTTCCTCCTCCCTTCCTTACTGCACTCCAGCCACCATTGCCTCCTGGCTGTCCCTACCACAGGGCCTTTGCACGTTCAGTACTCTGCCTGGTACACTCCCTCCCTGATATTGTCACCTCCCCCCTCACCTCCCGTGGTCTTTGCTCAAATGTCACCTTCTCAGTCTGTCTCAGAGTACTCTATTAAAAAGCTCATCAATCCCACATTGTCTATTCCCTCCCATTTTACTTCTTCTCAGCACTAATCACAAGTAACAGCCCACATATTTTATTTTTGTTTGTCTGCCCCCCCCCACTAAAACCACCTCTGCACAATGACGAAACTTTTGTCTTTTCTGATCACTGCTCTGTCGTTAGCACCCCTTGGAAGGATTCTTGGTATACAACAGGCGCTCAATAAATAGGGCACAGCAGGTCAGGAGATGGGAAAAAGATTGGCGCTTTTATGGCTGCAAGGAAGATTTGGGCCGCGCGGGGGAGCTCGCGGCCTGCGCACCTAGGACTAAGGTCAAGGGACCCAAGAAGAGCCCGAGAAAAATCCGCCCGGGGCACCTGGGTGGCTCAGTGGGTACAGCGTCTGGCTTCCGCTCGGGTAGTGATCTCAGGGTCGTGGAATCGAGACCCTCCTCGGGCTCCCCGCTCGGCGGGAAGTCTGCTTTCTCCCTTTCCTTCCCCTTGCTCGTGCTCTCGCTCTCAAAGAAATAAATGTAATCTTTATTGCTCTCAAATAAACAAACAATTTAGAGAAAAAGGAAAATCCGCCGGAAAATACTCCCCCCCTCCCCGACCCCATCGCGTACGGGATTTGCCCTTCGAGGGGCAGCGCGTCCCCGTTCCCACTCTGCACCTTTGTTAGGCGGTTCTGGCCGGGAATTCAGCACCCACCACACCCCGCGTAGAAAGATCCCCGTGGAAATTCCTTGGGAAGGATCGGGGCGGGGGAAGGGACACGTTTCTTGCTGATGAGTGACTCGCAGGCCCATCCTCCGGAGGAAGGGCCCGAACGTCCCCGGGGCCCCCCTCCCTTCCCCTTCTGCTGAGCGACCTCCCTGGCCCCTCGGAGTTCTCCATGGCGACGTGGCGCGCGCCCCACAACAGGAAGCCTCGGGCGGCGCTGACTGGCGCTGGGAGACTCCAGGGTCCCCACCGTCGTCGTGGTAGATGCCAAGTCTTGGGGTCACACTCGCGGGCCGAGGCCCTGGCGTGGGGGGCGTGCAGGCGGCCCAGAGACAACGCCCCCCGCCCCGCCCTAATGGAATCAGCCGGTGCAAACATCTGCACGTACACAGCGAGCGCGCCCAGCGCTCAAGTTGCAGGAGCCGCGCGGAGCCCTTGGAATTTGACCGCCTCCTCTCCCCGCCCCACTTAGGGAGCTGTTTCTCCGCGGAACGGAAGGGTCCGAGCGCCCCCCTCCCTTCCAGGTTTGCTGCCTCAGTTTCCCCTGGGAACGGCAGCGGGGGACTCGGCGCGTCAGGACCACGCGGCTTCCTTCCCTTTTCTGGAAGCTGTGAAGATGTCCCCGCTGCGGAGGCCGAAAGGGGAAGCGAGGCCGCGGGGGTGGAAGCGCCCATCGGAGGGGGGGATGTAGGGCCCCGGACGTGATGACGCCGCCGGTCCTTACCCCCAGCTTTCGCGGACGCCAGAATGTGCCCGGGCCTGCTCCTGCCGCTTTTAGGGAAATCAGTCGGCTGGGCAGGGCCATGCTCCTTGGGGAGGGGCGCCCTTGATAGAGGACGCCCCGAAGGGATTCCTGGGCCCCCGTCCAAGCGAGGGACCCTCCACTCAGTTAAAGAGGCCCGCCTGCGCTGAGACGTCACACTTGAGCCCGAATCCCCTCGCAGCTCGGAGCCTCGGTTTACCCCTCCGTGGAACGGACACAATAGCAGTCCCCACCGTCCAGGGCAGTGGGCAGTATTCAGGAAAGCGTTTCGCGCAGCATAAACGCTGAACCACGGTCACCCGAGCCCGGGACCCGACCCCCAGCGCCAGGAGCGGCTCCCGGGGCCAGCCGGGCCGCTGCGGCCCTCGTTAATTCAACTCGGAAATTCCAGCGCTCATTAGGAGGGTCAACACTACTTGGGCTCGGTACCCTCTCGATCCGGAAATGCCGGAGCCCTCCTTCCGGAGGGGAAGGCGCGAGGTTTCCGGGAAAGCAGCCCCGCCCCTCTGTCCCCCCGTGCCCGGCCACTATAAGAGCTCCCGCGCGCTCCAGGAGCCCAGTCCGCGCCGCATGCCTCTGCGCTCCTGCCGCGCGCTCTCCGCCCTCCTCCGGCCCGCTATGGCTCCCGGCGCCGCCCGTCTCGCGCTGCCAGCGCTCCTCGCCCTGATAGGAGTTCTGCCCCCAGGTGAGTCACGGGTGGGGGCTGCCGTCGCGCCAAACTCCCGGAATCCAGGCTGCGCCCTGAATGCACCGGGAGGACCGACTCCCGGCCAGCTGGGGATAAAGCCCCAATCGTACTTAGGTAGCTCTTTATGGGAAGTTGGGGCTAGAGCCGAAGACAACAGCACTGGGTTCGAATTCAGACCTGCATGATCTCCATGGGTGGCCTCAAGCTACAGGTTGAGCCTCCCGGAGCCTCAGTTTCTCAGCTGTAAAATGGAGAACGCAAGAGCCGCCACTTCGAAATGGTTGTGTCCTGGCCCAATGCCACGCCTGGCTCCAGGACCCGGTCAGACCATATGAGAATGGGTCCCGCGCCAAGCTGAGTAGACTGGGGACCCCCCCCCAACACACACGTACATTCTGTTCCTCATCCCCTACCTCTGGGGAAGTCCGGGACTGCTTCTGCTCTGGGGAATTCCAGGGCTGACTTGCCCAGGGCCCAGAGGCTGAGAGTGGTATGTCCCAGCACCCCTCTGCTAACTCCAGACCAGAGGGAGGGGAGAAGGGGACACCGTGGGTCACACATAGTGGTGGGTGCTGGGAAGCGCATTGGTGGGAAAGGGACAACTGTGCTTATGAGGTCAATGAAGGGTTCTAGTCCAGACGCTGGTGTGGATTCTGTGGCTTTTTAGGTGAGCAACGTCACCTCTCCTAGCCTCGCCATTTCATTCCATGAAACGGGAACCATCCCATTACTCTAGGAGAAATTACAGAGCTGCTGTTTTCCCACACCTCCACCCCAGAGAGAGTAGACCGAAAACTGAAGCCAGGGATCTTTGGAGGAGAGAGAGAAGGGGTGGGCCCAGACAGACACTTTTTTCCACTTCGGAGGTGTGGGGGCTCTGAGGAAGCTAACCGCTACAACCCACCTTCTTCTCCCCTGCGCTGTGCTGTGAGCCCACTGCATTAGCAGGGACTGGGATGGCTATATTCACCCACCTTACAGATGGGGAAATTGAGGCCTGGAGAGGGGAGACCACTTGTCAGAGGGAGTAGGGAGCCAGCTTAATCAGAGCCTCTCCATTCCCAGAGGGCTAGTCCTCTCCACCTCACACGTTGGGAGGAAGAAGAACACTGACATCATGCCATCCTCTGCCAAAATCCTCCGTGGTTTCCCATTGCCCTTGGGATGAAGAACAAGACCTTGGCATGGCCTGCACCGCCCACAGGATCTTCCCACCCTGCTTGCTCCCAGCTCTTCCCCCTCACTCGCTCTCCTCCAGCTACCCTGCCGCAGGGCCTTTGCACTTGTTCCTTTTCCCCGGAATTAATGTCTCTGTCCTCTGAATGGCCAGCCCCTTCTCATCATTCACACATCACCTGTTGCCAAGGAACTGTCCATTCTATCACCCTGTTTTGTTTCCGTCAAAGCTCGGATTAACATCAGTTATTAATTATCTTGTTTGTGAATTTTTCTGTCTCAAACACTGAAGGCAGAGTTTTGTCTCGTTCAAGGCGATGTCCCTGGCACCCAGCACGGGCTGGGTCCACGGTAATTGTGGTTGAACCCCGTTTGTAATGCCTGTCCCCTCCTCCGTCTCTTGTTCTAGGACTTGGAGGTGCCCAAATATCAGTGCACCCCCCAGAAGCCACCATACCCCGAGGAGGCACCATACAGGTGAACTGTAGTACTTCCTGTGACCAGACCCCCACGCTGGGCCTGGAGACTCAGTTGACGAAGAAGGAAGTGGCCCATGGGTCCCACTGGAAGGTCTTTGAACTGAGTGACGTACAAGAAGACAGCCATCCCATATGCTTTGTCAACTGTGGCTATCAGATGATGGCTCGAATGTCCCTTACCGTGTACTGTGAGTGGCTGGGCCCAGGGGCTGGACTAGGAGGGCTGGGTGGGAGAGGTGGGTGCTTGGGGGTCCCCGCAGGCCAGGACAGCCCTGGTGGCTTGCTGATGGGGCCAGAGCTGACTCACTGAAGGGCTGGGGGGACCTCCTTGGAGAGCATCATTGTCCTTTGAAACCCCTTCTTGAATTTTCTGGGGTGCCTTTAGCGCAGTACAGAGATTCGGTCAGTACCTTCAAATATTCTAGGTCTCTTTAAACATGTGACAGGTCCTAGATGCGACTCTTGAAAAGAAGAGGCAATTTCAAAGCAGCCCGGTGATGGCATTTTTTACATATTGGCAACAGTCAATAGAATTGCTCAGAACCGTGCTGGCAAGACTTGGGAGGGGGGGAGCAGGCCGTCCTGGGACATTGTTGACAGAGTGGGAGCATCAGGAGCACAGCCCTGAACGGGGGGAAAGGGAGTGTTAGTTCTCGGAGACACAGGCACATGTGCTTGGACAGAGAAATCCCACTGCTGGGAATCGGGCTTCCCTGGGGCTCCACCCACCAGGGGAACTGATCGGGGTGGGGCGCGGGATGGGCTTATTCCCTTGGCTTTGGAAGGGCAGACGTGGGCAGGCATAGGGGGTTGGGGTGGGGTGGGGGGAATAGTCTACAGCTGTGCAAAAAAAGAAAAAAACAGGGAGGAAGGGCATGTGTCCAGAAAGGAGAAATGAGCTCCCAAGTGTACTGTCAAGTTTAAGGGAAGGAGGTATACTCAGAATGAGTGGCATCCAACTTTGGTGTTAAGGAGCAGCGTGGCGGGGTGAGGGACGCCTGTGTTGTCACATGAAGGAGGCATGAAAGGAAATGCAAGAAGTGACCGCATTAGCTGTGAGGACAGAAGCTGGGGGAGGGCTGCTCTGGGAGAGGGCAGGGGGTGATGTGTCTCGTGCCTTGTTTTACTTTGGGCATTTTGCATCGTGAGAATTTCTGTTACCAGAGGCCATAAAGAAATAAAACGCTACTCCAAACTAAACAAAACAAAAAGGAAGAAAGAAAAGGAAGAGAATGGGCCGACTGGTCTTGGATCAGCCAGCCTCGGGTTCCGGTCCCAGCACAGCCCTGCCAACTGGGCAACGGCGGGGGACATGGCTTGTCTCCCCGTGAGCTCTCCTTGCAGAGGTATAATGAGGCCGTGAGGCATAAAAGACCTTCCACCTTCATGGTGCGTGGCTGAAGGAAGCCTTCAGATTCTGAACAGATTCTAGCCAGGTGAGGGGAGTCCCCGAACATTCCCGGTGGCCTGTGAAACCCCCGGCAAACCTCCCCAAAGACTTCTGCATTTCAGCCTGATAGCTGAGAGCCCAGTGCTCCCAAGTCTGAGTCCCGGCTCTGTGACGTTTCTCTCTCTGTGCCTTCGGGCACCAGACTTTGCCTTCATTTCCAGCTCTGTGAAATGGAACAGAACTGGCACACAGTAGAAGGGTCCCCTAGAAGACATTCTGTCCAGTTCGGTCCTGCCCCACCCCCAGTGTAAAGCTGAGGCAGGATCCCTGGGTGGCTGAGATTTCTCTAGAAAGAATAAGGGTGTTAACTCCTATAGGAGGTGACCCCTAACTGGGCCTTGAAGGGTGAGTAGGAGTTCACAGACACTCAGGACAGAGGGAACAGCCTAGACAAGGGTTTGAGTGGGAAAACATGTGGATAGAGGCAGGGCGTTAGGAGGGACTGAATACAGACAGAGCCGTGTGGCTAGAGCTGAGGTGGGCAGGGCCTCAAATGCCAGGTGGATGAGCTGGGACCTTCTCCTCAGAGTGATAGGGAGCCATAGCAGGTGTGTGAGCAGGCCAGGGTTCTAGATGACGGCAGGCTTATGGGAAGCCAGAGAGCAGCTGGGCATGGACCTCGTCCAGACCACATGTGTGGGCAGTGGCTGGGTACAGGAAGGGAGGGCAGACAAATATTTGAAGAGTGAAGTAACCAGGACTGGAGGTTGGGGCTCAGAGAGAGGGCCAAGCAACACAGACCTCCTCCCCCAGTCTCACCTGAAGGTCAAGGAGCTGGGCTCAGAGCTGTGAGTTCCATTTCGGAGCGGTGGGGGGGGCTGAGGTTTTGAGGTTTACACCAGCTCTGCAAGTTCATGCTCACAGCAGGTGGAGGGGTTTCTTGCCCTTTTATTTCTTAAAACAGCTTTACTGCTATATGGTGTGAGGTACACACCGTCAAAGACACCCCTTTGAAGTGTACAATTCAACACCTTTTCACGTATTTATAGAGTCGTACAACCATCACCACAATCTAATTTTAGAACATCCCCATCACCCTAAAAAGAACCTTCCTGCCCCTGTTTAACAGTCATTCTCTCTACCTCTTAAATGGACTCATAGAAGTCTTACCTCTGATAACCCATTTTATGGCTCAGGAAACTGAGGCTCAATTTCTACCCCTTTTCCAGAGGCAAAGTCACTCGCATACAGCAGGTAGCAGTGAAGCCCCGAAGCTAGGTGTCAGCCCCTGAGACGTTAACAGACACTTCAGGGGCTCTTGGGACAGGTGTAGTGAACCGCAGTCCTTAAGACCCCTCCCTGGGAAGGCTGGGGGTCTCGTCTCAGGGCTGAGTCACGGCTGCTGTCAATTTTCATGAGCAGCCCGGGCTTGAAGTGCTTGAAGTGGAGACCCTGGCAATAAGCCCACCGTGTTGTGTTTTCAGGGGATGTTCAGAGTCTCGTTTTCAGTGTCTGCAGGTGGTTCTTGCATTTTGGGAACTTCTTTCCCTTAAAAGGGGGCTTCTGAAAGGCCTCGAGTCAGTGTGGGTGGCTCACCCTTATTCATTCTACGAATATAGAGAGCCTACTGTGAGCCGCATGGGTCAGGAGACAAAGCAAAGACCCCTGCCCTCCCGGCCTGACCTCCCGTGGTGGGGGAGGGGGTACATAGAGTAGAGACAAGTTAACTGAGTGGATGGATGTCATCTTCGGATGCCACACAGTGAGGGCTGCTTGGGAGAAAACTGAGGCCAAGAAGAGGAGAAGGGGGAGCGGGGGGAGGGGGGGCTTTTAAAAAACAATCTCTACTGGACCGGGCAGCTTAAATTACCTGGTGATAGATTTTGAGCTTCTTTTCCACATTTCACTCTCAGACGCTGAAACTAAAGAATTGCTTTTGCCCGGTTCACAACCACCTGGGGATTTCCCACCGGTTTATCCTGAAGCTCTTAAAATTCCTGTCTGGCTCGGGTGGTTTGGGGAGTGTTTGTCAAGAGTGGAGAGTGGCAGGGCTCCTGGGACAGGTGCAGCCGGCGCCCCGGCGCCCCCTGCAGGCAGCTGTCCTGCTCACACACCACCACCCCCGCCCCCTTAACAACCCAGGGTTCCCGGAGCGAGTGGAGCTGTTACCCCTGCCCCGCTGGCAGCCCGTGGGCGAAAACTTCACCCTGCGCTGCCAGGTGGCAGGCGGGGAGCCCCGGAGAAACCTCACCGTGGTGCTGCTCCGCGGGGAGGAGGAGCTGAGCCGGCAGCCGGCCGTCGGGGAGCCCGCCGAGGTCACGGCCCCAGTGCTGGCGGGCAGAGAGGACCATCTCGCCAATTTCTCCTGCCGCACGGAATTGGACCTGAGGCCCGGAGGGCTGGGATTGTTCCAGAACAGCTCGGCCCCCAGGCAGCTCCAAACCTTTGGTAAGGCACTGGGGAGCCGCCAGAGAGGATGGGCTCAGGGCTTTGTTCCTGCTTGGGGAGCCAGGGGAGAGAGGCCTCTGGTCGGGGTGCTAAGGCTTCAGGAAAGAGCATGTTCTTGAGCATTGGTGTGGGGTGGTCTGGGATGGGGTGCCCCAGTTTAAGGACCTTCTGAAAAGGCTGTAATCCGGCTTGGGTTCTGGGACAGGGGTGACCCGAGCCGCAAAGTCTCTGGGAACCAGAGAATGTCCCAGATGGGGGAATGAAAATGCCCCAGAAAGGGGTTTCAGGTTGCCGGTCGCCTCTCTGTTCACACCCACCCTCTCTCGCCAGTCCTGCCAGAGACCCAACCACACCTTGCTACCCCCACAATTGTGGAAGTGGGCACACAGTGGACTGTGAACTGCACTCTGGATGGGCTGTTCCCAGCTGCGGAGGCCAAAGTCATCCTGACGCTAGCAGAAAAGAAACTGGACTCTACATCCCAGTACAGCAAAGACTCTGTCTTGGCCATGGCCAATGTCAAGGCGAACTCACAAAAGGAGGGGATCCAGCATCTGGCATGTGTGGTGACCCTAGGAGGTCGAGACCAGAAGAGGGAGGAGAACGTGGTCCTCTACAGTAAGTCAGGATGGGGTGGGGCCTCCCAGGGGCCAGCCCAATGCTAGGGGGGCGGTGCTCACTGTGCGCCCACCCCCTCCCAGGCTTCCCCGCGCCTAACCTGACCCTAAGTGAGCCAGAGGTCTCAGAAGGGACTGTGGTGACTGTGGAGTGTGAGGCTCAGGCTGGAACCACGGTGTTGCTGGAAGGCCTGTCATCTGAGTCTCCAGCACACAGAGCAGAAATCCGATTAAACGCCAGCGCCGCAGACCACGGACGCAGCTTCTCCTGCTCTGCTACCCTGATCGTGGCTGGACAGCTGTTGCACAAGAACCAGATCCGGGAACTCCGAGTCCTGTGTGAGTGGGGCCACTGGCCAGTGACCCATAACCCCGAGGACCCAGCCCCTAAGATCCCATGAGCTCCTGCCCTCTGAGGGCACCCTCCAGCCCTCTCCCCAGATTCCTAGGTGGTGAGGGTGTCCTCTTGGTTCCTCACCCCTTCCTCATCTTGCTGTGTTTCTCCAGATGGTCCCCGACTAGACGAGAGGGATTGTCCGGGAAACTGGACATGGGAGGAAGGCTCCCAGCAGACCCTGCAGTGCCAAGCTTGGGGGAACCCAGTTCCTGAACTGAAATGTCACCGGAAGGGGGACAGTGCTTTGCTGCCCATCGGGGACCTGAGACCCGTCAAGCGAGAGGTTGCGGGCACTTACCTTTGTGAAGCCCGGAGCCCCCGCGGGGTGACCAGGCGCGAAGTGGTCCTGAACGTGACCTGTGAGTGTGCTGGGGTTTGGAGCTGGGCAGGGCAGGGATAATGAGCCTGACTCAACCCTCATCAGCCCTGTATCCTCCCCACAGACCACCAGAATAACATGGCCATCATCATCGTGGTGGCAGTTGCTGTCCTCTTGGGAACTGTGAGCGGAGCCGCTTACCTCTATAACCGTCAGCGAAAGATCCAGAAATACAAGCTACAGAAGGCCCAGGAGGCAGCTGCCATGAAGCTGAACACACCGGCCACACCGCCCTGAACCTGGGCCAGGAACCAGCCTCCCCCTCAGCCCCCCACACGGTGGCAGCAGTGCCACATTGAACAAGGGTGGTCACAAGCCATGGAGCTCCACCCATCTTCCCAGGATGCCTGAGGACAGGATAGAGGCCTCAGGATACAGGCAGGATTTGGGGTCCTGTCACGGGCACACTTAGGATCCCCAAGCCTCATGCCTGACCTGGAGCCACAGGACTGAGCCACAAGGAGGGGGCAGGACATGGGGCATGACTGAGGGATGTCAGGGCCTGACCTGTCTAGGGTGGGTGTGGTGGGACACAACATGGGACCCCCAACTGGGAAACAGTGAAACACCCCTACTGCGTGTACTGAGATGCTCTAGTCCTAAGAGAGCAGTAGCCTGCGCAAACACAAACAGCATGGAAACACATACCCCCATACTTCCTCTGACAAATGCCAGCTCCAGCCCTGCAGTCCATGGACTGTCCCCAACTTTTAATGATGACATATTTATTAATTTGTTCTTTTACCAGCTATTTATTGGGTGCCTTTTATGTGGGCTAGAATGGTAAAGAAGAGGAATGTGAGTTCCTGTCCTCAAGGAGCTCTCAATCTAACCTCATTCAGGGTTGCCAGGTATGGGTGTGCTAGTTGTGTACTGCACAGGAGCACCTGGCCAAAAAGATCAAGTGGGGCTGGAATTTCCCATTCCATTGGCTAAGCTGCTTTCCTCCAGAAGGGGACTGACTATGGTGATACAGTTTAGTTGGTGCCATGCCTAGGGGCAACCCACTGAGCCCTCCCCCCATCTTTGACACTGACCTCTGTTAGCCCCCTCTCTGCCCATATGCATCTCTGCATAGTGCTCACAATGTGGCATGCCTAAACATGAATGCCCACGCATTGGCAGCTAAAGCATGGAGTCCTATGAAACTATTCCCAACCCCTGTGTGTCCCTGCCTTGTCCTGTTTCCATCTCAGTGGGACCATGCAAGACCAGAGCACTCTGGCAGCCCCAGGTTCCTGCAGAGATGAGGACCCTGCAGGCAGTAGGGAGGAGAGGCCTGGGAAGATCCCCTCCCCGTTCCAGAAGCCTCTCTCTCATGCTAATTAAGCTTTTTCATAAACACTTGCCTTGTGTGGGTTGAGGGGAGCTGTCCCATCCAGCTGAAGCCCTTTCCAGCCTGGTCCTCTCACTTCCCCCAAGAAAAAGCTGCCGGCTCAAGGCCCACCCCTCAGGCTCAAATCCAAATCTGGGGCTTGTTAGGACCTTGGGAGACTCAAGTGAAAATTAAAGATACCTCTTCAGCAAAGTCTCTGAGCCTTGCTTTACATAGGTCTGGAATTTCTTCTTGAGCTGAGGGAGGGCCTGAGGGGCTTGCACCCTGCAGGATCCTCGGCCCTCTGGGGGCCTCTGTCCCTCTGGGTGGGGCTGCGGAGGCGGGGCTGCCGGCCTCCTTATCTCCAGAGCCAGCCTTGGCTCCCGGGCGCTCTGGCCCCTCAGTCTGGGCCCTTTGCCATGGGGTCTCTGCTCCCCCTCTCGCTGCTGCTTTTGCTGGCGGCCGCCTATCCGGGAGGCGGAAGGGCGCACCCGCGCCGGAGAGCGCGGGTGCAGGGCCCGGGAGGAAGCTCCCCGGCGCCCTCGGAGACCCCAACTAGGTTCTGGGTGCGCCTAAGGCCGGAGTTCAAGGAGGTGCAGCCGGGGGGCTCCGTGTGGCTCAACTGCAGCACTAGCTGCCCCCTGCCGGAGTACTCCAGCCTCAGCACTCAGCTGCCGCGGGGCCAAACGCACAGTGGGCCCGGCTGGGTATCCTACCAGCTGTTGGACGTGAGAGCCTGGAGCTCCGAGGTGCGCTGCTTCGTCACCTGCGCAGGAGAAACACGGTGGGCCACGGCCAAGATCACCGCCTACAGTGAGGGACGGGGGTTCAGGCCTTGCCGGGGTGAGGGGAGGGGGACGGAAGTGGGTATTTAGCAGTAGCGCTAGGGGGCGCACGCGGACCTGGCTTAGAGCGCCCCCCCGCCCCTTGCTTTAGAGCGGCCGCGAAGCGTGATCCTGGAGCCTCCGCTCTTGGTGGGCAGCGAGTACACTCTGCGCTGCCACGTGACGCACGTGTTCCCCGTGGGCTTCCTGGTGGTGACTCTGAGGCGCGGCGGCCGGGTCATCTACTCTGAGAACCTGAGGCGCTACAACGGCTCTGATCTGGCCAACGTGACGCTGACTTACACGGCGCCCGCCAGGCTCCGCGACTTCTGGAAACCGGTGACCTGCCACGCACGCCTCAATCTTGATGGCCTGGTGGTCCGCAGCAGCTCGGCACCCATAACGCTGAGTGGCCTCGGTGAGGCACCTCTGCGATCCGGGGCACTGGAGGAGGGGACGGGCGGGGCACCGCGCCGGTAGCTGAGCGAGTCCGGGGGGAGCTCCCGGCGGGTGGGCCTACCTCCCTGTGCTCCGTTCCTCACTCATACCTCCCGTCCCCAGCTTGGCGCCCCGCGTCCAAAGCCCTGGCCTCCAGCTCCATCGCGGCCCTTGTGGGGATCCTTCTCGTCGTGGGGGCCGTCTACCTGCGACACTGGCCATTGGTGCACAACCAGAGTAAAGAGAACAGGGTCTCTGCCGGCTGAGCCGGAGGAAAAAGGCATCTGGGACAATTTGGGGAACGCTGATTCAATAAAGCCCTCCTCCGTCACCCTCTGTCTCGCGGCCTAAAGGTCCCCCACTTAGGGTACCACCTCCGAGGAAGTGGCGTTCTGGTTTGCCCTTGCCTCCGTCACTTTCTCCAAGTTCCTTGTCTCTCTGAGGGCCCCGAGGTTTCCTCATTCCCATCCAGCTGGGGACCCGGGCGCACCAGCCCCTCCATTCCCAGACGAGTGTGGTAATATACCTCCCTTGCGGGCATTATCAGTGCGGTGCAAATGGGCTAAGCTTGGGCACTGGAGGGCTTGGGCTGTGGGAGGGTTGGCTCACAGTATGGTCCCCCTCCCCCGCCCCGCATTGGCTCCGCCGCTGCAAAGCAGCAGCTCCGATTGGATGTTAAGTTTCCTTTCCCATCCCCCTCCCGCCCCTCCCCTTCAGACCCAGCACTTTACTGGAGGACAGGGGTGGAGCGAGAACTGACCCACACAGTTCACCGTTAGCGCTGGCGGTGAGAGAGCAAATGGACGGGGTCACATGACACGTTGAGGGACGAAGATACGAAGAAAAGGTACCCATGTTGTGACTGCGGGGAAGGAAAATTCGGATGGCCCACGTGGGGTGTCACAGACTCGCGTCCTGGCAACGTCTTGATGATCACCTGGCCTCGGGGGCACACGCAGGGGGGCGTCAAAGCTTGGGGCCCGGATGCAGGGTCGAAGTGTCATACTTGGTCTCTCGGTCTCGCGTGGACACACAAGCCGGGCTCGCACTGGATGTCTGGAAGGGCCGGTGCGGTCCGGGGCCCCGCCCACCGCGCCAAAAGCGGATTCGGGGGCGCTCCTCCGCGGCTTGCGCTCACACACGCCGCGTAGACACGTGCCCGCTGCACGCTGGGTAAATACAGACCCAGAGCAGAGCCGACCCTAATTTAGACGCCCGCGAACGCTGCGCGCACGCACACGTGTTCCCGACTCGCTGGCACTTTCTTCCCCACCCCCTCTGTCGCGTGCGGGGGCGGAGCCGGAGGGGGACTAGGGGCGTGGCTATAGCCCTCAGCTCCCCGGTCTTAAGGAAAAGGATCGGTGAGGGAGGCAATCCCCACACCCTTTCCTAGAATTGTGCCTTACCCCATTCTGCTCCGCGGATCTCTCCCAACCCTCACACCAATCCCCTGCCCAAGGACCGCGGGGGTTGGGTGGGGAAACTAACTATGGGGGCGGAGCTCTGAGTCCAGCTCATTACCACAGCATCCAAGCTAGGGGTGGGGGGCGGTTGAGAAGGGCAACCCAGCAACCCCCGACCTCGGCTTCGCCGCCGAGGATGACGCGGGAGCGCGCGGTCGCCCCCAGAAGGCTCCGGGCGATGGGGCGGGCCTCCACGTAGACCCCGGGGGTCGCTTGCTCCTGCCAGCACGCCTTCGCCGATGCCGGGAGCCTGGAGCACGCTCGCCCTCCCGCCCCCCAGCCGCCTCTGCCGCCGCCCCCTCCTTGGAAACCAAGTTACCAACGTTAAACCAATCCCGGAACGCAACTCTGCCTCCTCCACAACCCACCCGCCGCGCGGTCCTCTCGCCCAGCTCAGCGCTCGCGCTCTCCTCGCCTCCTGCGCTTCCCCCGCGGCGGCGATGCCGGGGCCTTCGCCGGGGCTGTGCCGGGCGTTGCTCGGCCTCTGGGCTGCCCTGGGCCCGGGGCTCTTCGGCCTCTCAGGTAAGAGCCCGGTCGTGGCTCAGGGTGGACAGGGCGGGGGCGGAGTTCCGGGACCAGAGAAGCGGCCACAAGCCCCTCCCAGCTCCGCCCTCGTCTCGCTCTACTCCCACGCTTCTGTCCCACCTTGAGCCCGGGCCTCTCCCTCCATCCCTCTCCCCACCAACACGCAGTGGAGACCCAGCTCCCAGACTCCTCGCTCGCCCAGGTCTCTACCCTGCCCTCTTGGAGATCCTGGGTGCTCTTCCGCACCCATCTCATGCCCTGGAAACCCCGGGTCTCCCGTGTCCCTTTCCGGGGTACCTCTCCACGCTCTGTTATGCTCCGTGGTTCACGGACTGACATCCTTCTCAGTCGTGGTCCAGAAAGACCCGATTTCCCCAACTGCTGTGACTCAGAGGCGCTATTCCCGCTCCATCCCGAGCCCTGGCAACGGAGTCCCTCCTCTGTTCCGCGGTTCCTTCCATGAGCCCAGCCTCAGTGTTCTGTGTTCTCCCGGGTTTGGGGTCCTCACTTAGCCTTGACTCAGCCTCATCTCTCTTTTGCCCTCGCCTCAACCTGTCTCCCCCTCTCCGGCAAGAACCCTGAGAACCAGTTCGTTTTCCTTCCTCCACACGAGGTCCCCTCTTCCCATCATTGCTGTGTGCGTCAAAGACCCCGTCTTTCATCTCATCACCCCTGCCCCCCCCATGCTTTCCCATCACTCCATCGGCTCCTTGGAGACCAGGGCTCTCTGCTGCCATGTCCCAGAGACGCCCTCGAGGTTTGAACCCTGGGAGTGCGCCTCCAAACCCGAGGCCAGGGCAGGACGCGGGTCTCCTGAGTTCCTCCTTGGCTGTGGCCTCTGCTAATTCCCCGGGAATCCCTGATTCGACATAGGGGCACAAAGATACCAGGAGGGTGGCTCCCCAGGCTGAGCCCACGTTTCCTTGGTCAGCGGTCGCGCAGGAGCCCTTTTGGGCGGACCTGCAGCCCCGCGTGGCGCTCGTGGAGCGCGGGGGATCTTTGTGGCTGAATTGCAGCACCAACTGCCCACGACCTGAGCGCGGTGGCCTGGAAACCTCGCTGCGCCGGAATGGGACCCAGAGGGGCTTGCGCTGGCTGGCGCGGCAGCTGGTGGACATCCGCGAGCCGGAGACCCAGCCCGTCTGCTTCTTCCGCTGCGCCCGGCGCACGCTGCAGGCGCGTGGGCTCATTCGCACTTTCCGTGAGTTCTCAGCGGCCACGCTCCACTCTACTAGTATTTTCCCTTCCTTCCAAGCCCCGCCCCCTGGGCCCCAGGGTCCTCCCCTTCAGGCTCCACCCCCTGGGTCCCCAAGCTCTCTGCCTCTGGGACCCTGGGTTCCACGCCACGTGCCTCTGAGCCCCGGCGTTTCCAAGAGCAGTGGTTCTCCCGTTGCAGAGCGACCGGATCGCGTAGAGCTGGTACCGCTGCCTGCCTGGCAGCCTGTGGGCGAGAACTTCACCCTGAGCTGTAGGGTCCCAGGCGCTGGGCCTCGTGGGAGCCTCACATTGACCTTGTTGCGGGGCGCGCAGGAGCTCATCCGTCGCAGCTTCGCCGGGGAGCCACCCCGAGCGCGGGGCGCGGTGCTCACGGCTACAGTACTGGCGCGAAGGGAGGACCATGGGGCCAATTTCTCCTGCCGCGCTGAGCTGGACCTGCGGCCGCATGGCTTGGGGCTGTTTTCAAACAGCTCCGCCCCCAGACAACTCCGAACTTTCGGTGAGTGGGTGTAGGGAGCCAAAGGGGACGAAAAGGAGTCGGGCGAGTGTTTAAGAATCTGGAGGCAAAGAAATCTGAATTCCAATCCTTACTCCAAAATACACAAGGTGTAAGTTGTTTTCCTCCCTGTGCGTTGAGGATGATAGGGTAAGATAGGGCATGTAAAGCGCTTAGTACATATCGAGTGTTTGATACATGATCTTCAAGCTCTGTTCTTCGACCCTCAGCCCTGTCTCCGGACCCCCCGCGCCTCGCTGTTTCCCGGCTCTTGGAAGTGGGCTCAGAAAGACCCGTGCGCTGCACCTTGGACGAGCTGTTTCCAGCCTCAGAGGCTGAGGTCTACCTGGCGCTGGGGGACCACAGGCTGAGTCCCGATATCACCCTGGAGGGGGACGCGCTCGTGGTCACTGCCACAGCCACAGCTAATGCAGAACAGGAGGGCGCCAGGCAGTTGGTCTGCAACGTGACCCTGGGGGGCGAGAGCCGCGAGACCCGGGAGAACGTGACCATCTACAGTAAGAGGGAGTGAAGCGGAACGGCCGCGGCTCAGGGGTGGAGCCAGAGGAACTGGAAGGCGGGGCAAGTGATGGGCGGGGCCTTAGTATAGGAATAGCCGTGGTTCCAAGTCCCTAACGGGTGGGAAGGTTGAAGGACTGAGACTGAACAGTTGTAGAGGGAGAGTCTGAGCCGCCGCCGAAGGGAAACATCGCAAACCCGACGAGGACCCTGTAAAGTTGTGGCCAGACGACCTCAAGAGGGCGGGGGAAAGGGGCGGAGCCTAAGCATCCGGAGAGGCGGGGCGCGGTGCCTACGGGTGGGCGGCACTGCCGGGAGAGTTCGGGCAGAGGAGGGGCAGCCTTGACCCGCAAGGAGAGGCGTGGTCGGTGGACTCCCGGCCAATGCCCCGTCCCCAGGCTTCCCCGCGCCGGTCCTGACCCTGAGCGAGCCCAGCACCCCCGAGGGGAAGGTGGTGACAGTAACTTGCGCAGCTGGACCCGAAGCCCTGGTCACACTGGACGGAATTTCAGCCGTGGTCCCGGGGCAGCCCGCCCAGCTTCAGCTAAATGCCACCGAGGACGACGACAAGCGCAGCTTCTTCTGCGACGCCAGCCTCGAGGTGGTCGGGCAGACCCTAAGCAAGAACAAGAGCGCCGAACTCCGCGTCCTATGTGAGTTGGTCTTTAACCTCTCGCCTCCCTCCTCGTGATTTCCAGCGGCCTGTCCGCTCCCTGGCCCTGCTGTGGAAGTGGGGCTTTTCCTCAAGGACCGCGTCTAGCTTCTCAGTGGCCCACACCCCTGCCCGCAGACGCCCCTCGGCTGGATGATTCGGACTGTCCCAGGAGCTGGACGTGGCCAGAGGGCCCGGAGCAGACGCTGCGCTGCGAAGCCCGCGGAAACCCCGCGCCCTCCGTGCACTGCGAGCGGCCTGACAGCGGGGCGGTGCTGGCGCTGGGCCTGCAAGGTCCGGTCACTCGCGCTCTCGCCGGCACTTACCGCTGCACTGCGGTCAACCGCCAGGGCGAGGCAGTCAAGGAAGTGACGGTGACGGTGGAGTGTGAGT